ATAAAATGATATAGGCTTTTATTCAATAAGGTAACCTTTTGAAAGCTTAATGAGAACCAAACTACTAGCATTTTGCTGCGACTGGAGCATTGTCCCAAAACCATGGGTTGGACCAAACACTCTTACAACATCAAAGCCCATTCTTTTCTCGGCATACTCAAAGCCTCACTTCTCGCTTTCGTTTTGGAAAAAGGACAATAACAATTCGTAGGGCAAAAGAACCAAAAAATCAATATAAATATAGAAAACATTAGCATGGAACCTACAATTTTAAAAAAGCTTTGAATAAATATCAGAGTAGAAATGCACTACCATCGCAACATAATCATTACAAGTTTAGAATTTAAAGTGCGTTTAATTATTACATTAGTTCTTCGTTGCAGTTATCTGTATCAGACCAACAGTCTCGTCCTTCACCTTGACCCTTGGGCCATTCAAGGGTCAAGGAAACACAGCTCCAGAAACAACCCAACCACTCTTTGACGTTGCTTCAGAACATGCCTTGAGTACATTTAAGAGTACCCTTCACAGCAGGCTAATTAGTTGCACCTGCACCTAAAGCTATTAGATACATATGAAGTAAAAAATTAACTCACCAAACTACTCGTAATACATTAAAGTCCCATTGAAGATAAACATCAATGATACACATTGTCATCACATTTCAATCCATTGACCACTTTCTTACCTGTGATTAACTTTACTATCCACCAGATTGAACTAAAAATTGCCAGCAACTCCCCCAAGTGACATGCCACTTGCATCCCCAAATTGGTGAGAAGTAGGAAAAGGTGCCTAAAACACTTTAATAGACAAGGCACATAAAAAGAAACTAGTCCAAAGTGTAAAATCAATTAGGAACTTGGAACATAGGAACAATAACAATATTGGGAAGAGAATTGAATAATTTTTTTTTACAAGAAACAAATGGGCAAAGGAAAAATCTACGTACAGGCGATGAAATAGATGATGAGATTGCGCTATGTAAGAGAATAACAGTGGGTTAGAGAGCGATGGAAAGTGAGGAGAGGGACAGGAGGAGAGTGATGGAAGATGGGATAGCATAGGATTGGGGGACTTACGAGGATCTCTGACGGTTCCATGGATGGAGTAACCATTAGAAGAAGAAGTTCACCAACCAAAGAAGCTACGTTACCCTCCCGCCCCTGTCACGCACACTGTGCCTCTCTTCCGCCAATTCATCGCTGAGAAACCACTACTACGCCCTTACAGCCACCACAACCCCACTCATACGTGCCCTCACCTCATCAAAAACACACAAGTTTTATAAAAAGATAATTACGAGTTCGGTTACGGAGCTTTTCCCAGTATTAATCTATTATTGTATCTTAATTTTAAATTAGGTCTAGTTTGGATGGTGGAATTCTCAAATCAAGCTAAAGCTTATCTACAATCGCAATTTCACTGTTTGGCGGCCGAAAAAACCGTTGATGAACATGAAAGCGCTATTGAAATCGCGCTTTTTAATTAAGAAAGCATGGTTGCAAAAACCATGCTCTTGTAACATAAATTTTTTTTCTGAAAAAAAAACGTGATTCCAAACCACCGCTTCACATGCATCTCCGTTTTAATTTGTGATCTGAATTTCACTGTGCCATATAATTTTTTTTTTTTTTCCTGAAGAAGAGTACTATTCAAAATCACGCTTTTACTGTTCACTACAAGAAGCGTGGGATGGAAACCACGCTTTCACGTCCATTAATTTAAATTTTTTTCTGTTGTCAGTTGTTTTTGTGGTAATGTAATTCATTAAATTTTTTTTTTTTCTTTTGCATTGTTTTGGGTTAGAAGGTGTAATTGAGAAAAAATTTTGTCGTTTACCTAAACCATTTCATGTAATTTGTTTTTTTGTGTTTTTTTTTTTGGGTAGAAGGGTGATAATGTGTAATTCATAAATTTTTTTTGCTTTACTAAATTTTTTTTTGGGCTTTACAAAAAATAGTATTAAAAAGATTATTATAAATTAGTGTATAGGAGAAGATTTGATGAATAGCGGTTCATTAGTGCTGAAATCCAGGACGCGTCGCAGAGTAGAGGCTAGGAGATGATTTCCGTGCTTTTGGACATTTGAATTGGAGTGCTGTTCGGCCCGTGGAGGTGCTGTTCGTTTACGAGGGCGGACAGCAACGGGGCCTTAGGGATCGACGGAGGATCCGGATCATTTTGGCCAACGCAGACAGAGCCACAAGAGAAGAAGAGGGTGAGAGAGAGAAGAGAAGGACTGACAGATTGCTTTCCTATTCCCTACCAACACGCCATGCCACCTCATGTTTTGAATGAGATCTCCCCGCCACTTGGCCGATGATACCCGAGTACTAATAATAAAAGACTCATGTTTACCTCTCTTGCCGTATGCGTCTCGCTACCCTTCCTTGTGGGGTCTTGTCTACTAGTATTACCATACTTATCAACATTTTTTTTTCACCAATTTTAACACTACATATTTTTTTTCACCAATTTACAGCTGATTCATTAGACTAAGCATGAAATCCGTGAAATTCGATAATCTGATTCAGTCTCAGTCCAATTCCGATAGATTTAGATGATTTTTAATCCGTGGTTCGCGTCTTGGGATTGACTCCACGATTCCGTAATTGGAACCGATCCAGACCATATACAAATAGTCTATATTTTTATTATACACCATACCCCAAGTATCTTCTCTTATTCTATTATAAAACCTAAACCCAAACCTAAACCGCATAGGAGTCTTTTTTTACTACTTTTGTTTGTTAGTTTTTAGTTTAATTTTAATGTCTTAGATACTTATGGTGAAACCAGTTTTCTTATGGTTGTTTGAAATTCTAGAACATATGTCACTATAAGAAAGAGTTATGTTCTGATTGTGAAAAACTTAAATAGTGTATGTTTTTATTTCTTATAAATTAAAGTGTTATATATTTTTTTTGTTACTTTAATTATGGAATCGTGTGATACTAAAACCGATCCAATCCGTGTTAAATGGATTGTTTCAGATTTAAACGGATTGGATTGATTCAATTTTTCAAGAACCGTTACGAGATAACGATTGGTCTTGGTTTTTACCTCAATCCGGTCTAATCCAGACCATGCCTCGCCCTTAAGATTTATGTCATTTAAAATCAATTATAAAATAAATTTTAATTATTCAATAACAAAAAATTAAAGCCTCATTACAACTCCGTGCTTTAGCCTAAAAATCAAAAAATTAGTAAAAAAACTAAAAATCCAGCAATTTATACCAAAAAATCAAAAGATCTCTTTTTCTCTCACTTTTTGCACATCATTTTCATAAAAAATTAAAAAAGTCATTCCAGAACATACTAATTTTTTTTCCTAAAATAAATGGTTCCCAAACGAGTCTAATTGCTTCAATAAACTCTTTTTATTACTACATAAAAAGTAAAAAAAAATAAAAGTTCAAACAAAATTGGAGTTATGAAGGCACATTACCTTCAAAATAAAAGAAATTTTTGGTGCAAGAAACGAAATTAAAAATTGAAATAAAAAACGTAGGTCTTATGAGAAATTTTCATAAAAAAAAGTTGTACGATTTGTTGATTTTTTTTTCTTAGAGTATATTCTGTGCGCTCTTCCACCTTTCTCATTCATTTGGTGAAGTATCTCTGTATTTTTTTTAATGAAATTATGGCTCATTTTTTCATTCAAGGAAGAACTCTTCCATGTTAAGGTTTGACTCCCATGGAGCTGGACCACAAACAAGGGTAAACCTCTGTGATTTGTACAATTGTTTGCTATGGATTTTTTTTATATTTTAAAAATATATACATTGAATACAAATACAACTTCGAAATAAAAAATCCAGAAAGAAAACTACGCACGCACGTACGTTGGTGAGAGCAAAAACCCTTGATTTTCTAGTGAGATAGAAGATCACAGTGCTTCGGCTAACTGGTATATCAACGGGGTTATGCTCACAAAGTAGGGTATGGACAACCAACCAATAACTTCGTACTTTTACTCCAAACCCCATTCTATGTTATGTCCCCCTATTATACGTAACTCAGCACAAAGAAACAAATAACCCAATAATGGATAGGAAAATCTACAGAGTGTTGTTCTTGTATATGGTTCACGTTTCCCAAGATTAATGAATTACAACATGAGTATTATGTTTAGAACGAATCTTCTGTGTAAAAAAAAATCTCT